TGCAAGAGTAAAAAGGAGGGAAACCAAGATGGTGGCATAGGTAAACACCTAAACTGCTGCCTCGCACAATTTCAAAACTACAACTAAAAGACAAAATGCCTATCACCCAGAACCACGGGAAAGCTGGCTGAGTGGAAGTTCTACAACTAGAAGGAAAGAGAAAAGAGCATTGAGATGTGTACAAGCGCTGAAAAGCTGAGGTATGGAGGTACGTGAACCGGGCTGGCAGGGGGTGACTGGGTGCTCTGCTTTTTTCAATCCAAAGGGAGATAAGCACCCGTTTACTCTGAACTCAAGTTTCTGGGGAGAGGCTGGGGACCCAAACTCCTATGGAGAGAATCTGGACTGTCTGCCATCAGGTCGGAAAGTGAGGGTGACTTTCTTACCGAGGTGCGCGCAGCAACCATTGTTAATTGCGCTGGGGCGCAGGATGCGGGGACTTGGAAACTCGGAGATACAGTGTCGGTTTACTGGCAGCCATTGCTTTTTGCCACGCCCTAGCCTAGTGACTACCTGGCAGCCATTGCTTTTTGCCACGCCCTAGCCTAGTGACTACCTGAGACCCCGCCCCACACAATCTGCAAACACACCCAAGCTCCACCCAGCAGCTTTTGCATAGAAATGGCCAGCCCTATTGCAGCTTAACCTAACAAATTGCAGCTCTGGTCAGACAGCTCCAAAACCTCCAAACCCAAAGCAAAGAGAAAATTGTAGATCTCACTGTAGCGCCTGCTGGGTGGCCTAAGACAGTAGCTGACCTGCACCCCATTGAAGATCCAGAAGCTAGTGTATCTAGTGGTCAGTGAGAGACACCAGATTTCAACTATTCTCATAAGGGACACATTCAAGAGGCAGACTCATTTGAGCACCAAAGCCCCACTGATACAAGTCCTGCCCCATAAGCATGTTTCCAGTACAGCAGTTCTTCCATTATAGACACAGTGGGTCCTCACAGCCAATTGGCCTGGAGGTCAATTCCTCCCAGTGACACAAACAACAATCAAGACTTAACTACAAGGCTGTACATAATCCACAAAGGGGTGCACCAAGAGTGTCCACCTCAGGTAACTGGGAGGTCGACCCACTGGGCCATATAGGATATCTAGCACACAAAGGCATCCTACCAACTCAGGGAAGCAGCAAAAATGTGGAGACAAAGAAATAGATCACAAACTAAAGAAATGGAGGAAAACAAACAACTGGATATAGAGTTCAAAACCATGGTTATAAGATTTTTCAAGAATTTCCTAGGGAAGGCTGATAAATTTAGCCAGACCCTCAAGGATATGAAAAAGGACCAACTAGAAATTAAACACACTGACTGAAATTAAAAAAAAATTATACAGAGACTCAACAGCAGACTAGAGGAACGCAAGAATCAAGTCAAAGATTTGAAATACAAAGAAGCAAAAAAACACTCAACCGGGAAAGCAAGAAGAAAAAAGAACCCAAAAATTTGAAGATAGTGTAAGAAGCCTCTGGGACAACTTTAAGCGTACCAACATCAGAATTATTGGGGTGCCAGAAGAAGAGAGAGAACAAGATACTGAAAACATATTTGAAGAAATAATGGCTGAAAACTTCCCCCACCTGGTGAAAGAAATAGACTTACAAGTCCAGGAAGCTCACAGAATCCCAAACAAAAGGAATCCAAAGAGGACCACACCAAGACACATCATAATTAAAATGCCAAGGACAAAAGACAAAGAGAGAATACTAAAAGCAGCAAGAGAAAAACAGTTAATTACCTACAAGGGAGCACCCATTCGATCGTCAGTTGACTTCTCAACAGAAACTATGCAGGCCAGAAAGGAGTGGCAAGAAATATTCAAAGTGATGAATAGCAAGAACCTATAACCAAGATTACTGTATCCAGCAAAGTTATCATTCAGAATTGAAGGGCAGATAAAGAGTTTCACAGATAAGAAAAAGCTAAAGGAGTTCATCACCACAGTATTATAGGAAATGCTGAAGAGTATTCTTTAAGAAGAGGAAAAAGAAGAAAAAGAAGTAAAGATAAAAATTTTGAACAACAAATACATATCTATCAACAAGTGAATCTAAAAAATCAAGTGAATTAAAAATCTGAGGAACAGAATAAACTGGTGAATATAATAGAATCAAGGGCATAGAATGGGAGTGGACTGATAATTCTCATGGGGCAAGTGGTGCCGGGGCGTGCGGGAAGAGACTGGACAAAAATCCATACACCTATGGATGAGGACAGTGGGGGGAGGTAATAAACTGGTGAATATAATATCGGGTCTAGTAATAATTAATGTCGTTTTTAAACATTCGTTTAAAATCTTGCTTGGCATTGACTTGTATTGACATAACCTTCAAACACGTGGTATCTACAGAACGTGTGAAGTGCAATTAACAAGTTTTGCTTGAAAAAGTTTGTGTTTGGTTTGGTTTTTGTTGCAAAACTAGGGCTAAGAAGATGGCGGATGAAGAGCATATTTGGCACTGCATGCTTTACGAGTTCCAATTAGGAAGAAAAGCAAGTGAAGCTGCAAAAAACATCTGTAGTGCTCTTGGTCAAGATGCAGTTAGTGCCAGAAAATGCCAGCGTTGGTTTGAGAAATTTCGCGAGGGAAATTTTTCATTAGATGACAAGAGTGGTCGAGGCCGTGTGTCCAATTTTGATCAAGAAGCTCTTCAAGCTCTTTTGGTGCAAAATCCTCAAATTACCCAACAAGAGCTTGCGACAACTTTAAATTGTTCACAAAAAACAATTTCCAATCAATTGCATGCACTTGGCAAAGTCCAAAAGTTTGGAAAATGGGTTCCTCATGAGTTGACCGACAACAACCGTAATCAAAGAGTCACAATTTGCAGTTCGCTCCTCTCTCGTCAAAACCGTTTGCCATTTTTAGAGCAAATTGTTACCGGAGATGAAGAATGGGTGCTGTATGTTAATTTGAAAAGGCGGCCTCAATGGTTGGACAAAAATGAGGCTCCGCAGCCCACGCCAAAACCTGACTTGCATGCGAAAAAAGTGATGTTGTGTGTTTGGTGGAATTTTAAAGGAATTCTTCATTATGAACTTTTACCATCTAACCAAATCATTACAAGTGCAGTGTATAGTGCCCAATTGGAAAGGTTAGCCCAAGCTTTAAGAGAAAAAGAACCCGCGCTGATTAATCGGAAGGGCGTAATTCTTCACCACGATAATGCACGACCGCATACTGCAAGAATCACTGCTGAAAAACTGCGCCAGTTGGAATGGGAAGTTCTCCCTCAACCTGCATATTCTCCTGATATTGCCCCTTCCCATTACCATTTGTTTCGTTCTTTGCAAAACTTTCTTCTTGGAAAAAAATTTAATAATGAAGAATGCCTCAAAAATGCATTGACCGAATTTTTTGCATCAAAATCACAAGAATTTTACAACAGAGGGATTAAAATGCTTCCTGAGCGTTGGGCACAAGTAGTAGAAAACAACGGCAACTATATTGTTGATTAAATTTTGTTGTATTGTTTAAATAAATTGGATTTAAAAAAAGTATTAGAAAACGACATTAATTATTACTAGACCTAATAGAATCAAGGGCATAGAATGGGGGTGGATTGATAATTCTCATGGGGCAAGTGGTGCAGGGGTGTGCAGGAAAAGACTGGACAAAAATCCATACACCTATGGATGAGGACAGTGGGGGGAGGTAATAACAGAGGGTGGGGTGGGAACCCGGTAGAGGGGAGCTATGGGGGGGGAAAGGGAGAAACAATTGTAATAATCTGAACAATAAAGATTTATTCAAGTTTTTTTTAAAAAAAGTAAAAAGAAAAGAAAAGCAAATAAATCAAATGATAAATGGGATCTCAAACATATTTATTAGCAAGGTCTTAAAATGCCAAAATTGGAATTTCTGTGATATAGTCAAACTTTCTTATATGTTTTCTCCATTAATTAACTTTCAAATAGGTCAAGTCTTAGAGTCCACTCAGTGGACAGTTTAACACACGAGTAAGAGTTCTGGCTTTAGTGTCATGCTACTTCCCTGTAAGTCTAGGCTCCACTACTTACTATCCTGTGATTTAGGGCTAGTTACTTAAGGATTGTAGGCCTCAGTTCCCTTCTAAATGTAGTTAATAATATATATACTTCATAGGATTGTTGTCAAGACATAACACATCTACTGTTTCCCCGAAAATAAGACACCCTCTGAAAATAAGACCTAGCGCATCTTTGCGAGCAAAAATTAATATAAGACACTGTCTTATTTTCGGGGAAACAGGGTAAACACTTGTTGTAGGTACGCTGTAAACAGTAAAAAAAGTTAAGATTTAAAAAAATTATTATTAGTTATCATTACTGATGACAATATCACATCCTTGAGGTATACAGGTACAAGAAAGAAAAAGTTGATCTAGATCACGTGTCAAACACAAGGCCCGCGGGCCAAATCCGTCCCGCCAGGCCTTGCAATGTGGCCCGCACCGCGATGTCATCACTGCACTCTGCTGCGTTTCCATCACAATGACAGTTTATGACTGTTCAGTAAACCATTCGGCCCGCGATTTAGGCTGGATTTTAGATTTTGGCCCCTTCTCTGATTGAGTTCGACACCCCTAATCTAGATGGTGGTTATCTAAATGTTTGAGTTATAAGTAAATAGTTAAGTCTTAAATGGAATATTTGTTTTCTGTACTTTTCTACAAATATATTTTAAAGTTTTAAATATTTTTTTAAAAATAAAAAAGCCTAAGAACCAATGCCTTACATGAAAATGTCTGGTATTAAAACACACATTCCAGCCGAAACCGGTTTGGCTCAGTGGATAGAGCGTCAGCCTGCGGACTGAGGGGTCCAGGGTTCGATTCCGGTCAGGGGCATGTACCTTGGTTGCGGGCACATCCCCAGTAGGGGGTGTGCAAGAGGCAGCTGATCGATGATTCTCTCTCATTGATGTTTCTAGCTCTCTATTCCTCTCTCTTCTTCTCTGTAAAAAATCAATAAAATATATTTAAAAAAAAACCACAAAACACACACACATTCCAGACCAAATAAAAGTAATTATTTTCACTAAGTGTTTCTTAGATTTATGGTAGCTACAAAACCCATCTCCTCTACGCACGTTTCAAACTGCTATCAGTGATAATTACTCCCTCCCCTATAAATTTCAGGATAATCTTTATTCTCTTTGTCTTCTGTGAGCTTTACCAAAAGAGGAAGAAACCAGAGAAACAGTAGGAGACTCAAATCTTATGATCATGCCCATCCCTGCCTCAATTTTTTAGAAAATTCCTCATTGTATACAGAATAATACCACTATGACTCTAGAATTCTAGATATGACTGCATCACCTTTTCCCATTGTTCTAATCATATTATACCTTCTACTCTAAAATAAATTCCTTCACATCTCCCTATCAAGAAGTTTCTAACCAACTCTTTGCCACAGATATATTCTCAGACCACCAGTTTCATCTCTTCACTCTTCTTTTTTCACCTGAACTATCTAATAGTTCAACAGATCTTTATTCACTAATTCCTCATGTGCCCTGTTCAAGTTTAGGGCATACTTCCTACAAAAGTCACCAACCTCTCTTCTATGAAGCCATTCTTGACTGGATGACTATGAAATTACCTCTCCCCACTCACAATTCCTTGGTATAATTCTACACTTTTAATTTCTTTAGAAAATATGTCTTTCATTCTTCCACCTAGCATCTTTCTTGTATATCAGGTGGTTGTATAATTTACAATCTTATCTTTCATCTACACTATACATGATACAGTAGGAATGATATCTCATCAAAGTGTATTTCACTATTTTGAAACAGCCTGATAATCTCAACTAGTTATAGAGCCACAGTATAAGTTTTGAATGTAATATAATTTCAAATGGAAGACTAAATTAGATATGGTGTCTAGGTTTAGTTATACCTAAATCCATAATAGAGGCATTTAATCAGATCTGACTCTAGATTACCCTCTAGTCACAGCTCTAGCACTCTGTTCTCTTCCAGCAGTCTTACTACAATCTCCCAGGACACTTCAATTACTGCTTCCTTAAGTCTGGAATGCCTCTTGTTGGCCCTCTCCTTTTTCAGGGCCAACATTCTTTCACCTTCAGGACCTACTCACTTCCATTCATCCACTAGGAATCAACAGAACATCTCCCTTGACCATTCAGCTCCAAGTTAGATTTTTCTTATGCAATCTCAGAATACACATATTGATGAACTGCATTGTAATTGTCAGTTTACTCTTCTACCACTCTTGAACTGTAAACTCCTTGAGATACAGACTCAATTTTATTCCTTTTTGTTTCTCCAAGATTTGACATTGTTAGATACCCAAAAGACAATTAGTGAAGGAGTGTCCACACTGTGACCTTGCGCAGGGTGCATACTTGAGTTTCCCCATCTAAAGTAATTTCATCCTGTAAAGTGGGGATAATGCTATACCTAGCTCATAAAGTTGTTATAAGGATTAAATGAGGGATCACAAAGCCTTAGTATAACCGAAACCGGTTTGGCTCAGTGGTAGAGCGTCGGTCTTCGGACTGAAAGGTCCCAGGTTCGATTCCGGTCAAGGGCATGTACGTTGGTTGCGGGCACATCCCCCGTAGGGGGTGTGCAAGAGGCAGCTGGTCGATGTTTCTCTCTCATCGACGACGTTTCTAGCTCTCTATCCCTCTCTCCTTCTCTCTGTAAAAAATCAATAAAATATATATTTTTAAAAAGCCTTAGTATAACTACCATTTGAATACCTGTTATTTCATGCCTTACTTATCCTAATGTATGTATCCTGGGAAATGTAATGTTGTGACTAATACTTTCAGATTGAAAGGCTTAGGTAGCAGACATTAATCTATAAGTCACTGGTTACATTCTGGTCATCAGTATGTATTATGTATCTATTATATGAGGAGTTTTTACAAGGTATCACTGAGCTCCCAGAATAAAATAGGGGCAAATAATAAGACAAAAACCTGTCTCAATATTTAAAAAGAAAGAATTTTGTTTCAACAATATGGGTATTTTTCAAACTATGTAAGCTCTGCTTTATAATAGGGTAAGTTTCAAGAACAATTACTGACAGAGAGAGTTCAAAATTAATTCCTATCATCAAGTGGACCGATTAACAGGAGCCAGTTCTAAAATTTCTTGCTGCTATTCACAATTTTTATTTTGCTTATTAGTATTTCTCACAAAAGTAACAACCATGACCTGGACAGAGACAAATGACCTATATTTGTCTCATTCAAATGTGAATTCCTCAGTATTTCCTTAGTTGTTTTTTTTTTTTTTCAATTAGTATATAAACTTGTGGCTCTGAAAAAATGGCTTGAGTTTTTGTCTGTTTTCTACACTGAATGGCATATTTTCTTAAGAGAGAATAAAATGCACTTCTTATTCACACTGGCCCTCATCAAGAATTACAAAACTGCAAATCATGTCACCTAGTATAAGAAGAGGCTGGGAACTTAAAACTACTTCCCCCTACCAAATCCGGAGGTCAGAGTCCCAATGAAGTTTGTGCATTATATTTCAATGCTTTTAGTAAGCTGCAAAGAGACCTCTAGCGCTGCCTTAATAAATCGAGTTTGCAAATAGTGCCTGCTTATGTCAACTGAATGAGACAATGGCAACATGCTGTGTGTAGCAACGAACTGAGTTACCACATGAATGTTTACAGTTTTGTAACCACATCGAAATTCTACCTGCCTGGAGCAGGAGGCATACACAAGGCCGTATAAACCCATGGATTCAACTTCTTTCAGCAAAACATGTCAAAGAAATAATCCTGAGTGTAGCCCCATGACAAACAAGAAATGCTAAGGAAACAGGTCCTGTAAACGGGGGGTCGAAACAATGTCTCTTCTAAAGCCTCAGCACAATGGATGGCAAACTATTGTCCACCTTCAGCTTGCTCCAGAGGCCGGCGGTAACGGGAGAATGAGCTGGAACAGCTCAGCCAGCGCGACTGGTCCAGAGGACAGCTCTGGAATAGGGAATAGAAGAAAATGGTCCTGGCGCATCCTACCCTCCCCCACCCGCCACCCTCCAACAAGTCAGTTACCCGGCTGGTCCCCACCCCCCTCTGCGGGCGCCGCCGCCCGCCGGGCCCAGCTCGCAGGAGGCAGGCGCGGGGACCCGCAGCGCCGAGGCTCCCATGTGCGGCCGCGCGGGAGGCTCTGAGGGGGCTGCGCCCGCGGGAGGGAGCGCCGGCCCCGGGCGCGAGCGCGGCCACCCCCGGCGCAGTGGCCGGCGGCCCCCGGGCGAAAGCATCCCGGCCCCGCGAGGCCGCGGCCGGCGGACCCCGCCTCAGCTCCACATCTCTCCCCGCGGGCAGACAGACAGCAGGCCGCGCCCGCGTGACGGGGCCGAAAACCACGGCGTTTCCCGGCCCGCGCGCCCGCGGCTCCGGAGGGGCGGCTGCGGCGGGCCCCGCGCCGCGCCCGCTCCGCCCAGCCCCGGGCCCGGGGACGGGGGGCGGCGGCCAACTCTGACCCACCGCGAGCCGGAGCCGGCGAGCGCTCTCCCGGCGCCGGCCCCCGCCCTTCCCCGCCGCCGGCGCCGCGGCCAGGCGGGCCCAGCCCGGGGAGGCACCCTCACCTCCACATCGCGGCCCTTGTTCTTAAAGCTCTTGATGCGGTGGTTCTCCAGGCCCGGGTTCTCGGCCATGGCTGCGCGCGGCTCCGGCGGCGGCTACTCCTGCGGCGGCGGCGGCGGCGGCGAGCCTCAGTGCGGGAGGGGGAGGCGGGGGAGCGCGGGAGGGCGCGGGAGGGGGAGGGGAGGGGGAGAGCACGTTCCGTGACGCCTCCGAGCGCGAGGTGGCAGCAGCGCCGGGGCCGGCGCAGGCCGACTGCCGGGCGGGGCGGGGCGGGGCGGGCGGGGCGGGACCGGCGCTGAGGAACCGAGCGCGCCTGGGGAGGCTGCTGTCACGTGCCTGGGGCGGCTCCAGGGCCTGGACGATCTCCTGGCGGGAGGTGCCTGGTGTTACGGGGTGACCCCAACCCCTCTCTTCCACCATTCCCCCCACCCCCCAGGCCTCGTGCTGCTGGTTAAGGCCCAGCAATGGAGCCAGTGGCTCTTACTGCTCCCCGGCGTCGCTGAGGTGCAGGTGAAGACTACAGTTCCCAGCATGCCACGGCCCGGCAGGGGTTAATTCTGGGCTTGACAGCACGAGGGAATGCCGGGAACCCCCAGCGCGCGCTTCTGGGCGCCGGGCTTGAAGCTCCGCCCCCAGGACCGCCTCTGGGCGGGGAAGTGGGAGGGGCTTCCCTGGAGGTGGCATCTTGTACGGGATTGGGAGGAGGCGGGAGAGAGGTCTCGAGTCCCCAAAATAGCAGCCACCTCTTAGTGGCTGTTCCTGGCTGCGCTTTGGTTTTATAAATAGCATGTATTTCCACCTGACATGTACATGTGTATGTATGTAATATATGCGTGTGTTATTTGGTTTACTACACGAGAATTAAGCTCAATGAAAGCAAGGGACATTGTCTGGTGTTTATTGTTAAATCCCTTGTGTCAAAATAGCGTTTGGCACACTCAATAAATACTTGAACAAATTAGTTGCTCTAGCATCTTTCGGTTTCTTCATCATTCATCCAAGCCCGATTCTGTAACTTTCACTCTGGCAGTTCCTGCATTTCAGTGTCCCCAACCCTGAATTACCACCCTCAATCTTCAGCTTCCAGGAATCAGTCAAGCATCCCCCCTTGGAGGAACGATCAAGGGAAATTTGGGTTCATGACACTAATAGTTGCTTTCTAGAACAGGTTGAGCTTCTTTCATTATATGTGAAATAATTCAGTTTCAGAATCTCTGGCAAATATAAGCAGATATGCAAAGTTATAGTACAATACAAATGACTGTGGTCATTCAAAAGTTGGTAGAAATAAAACTATAAAGAGATTAAAGAAGACATTCTTTCAAAACAAAGGGTCCTTCCTCCCCTGCTGGCTACAACCCACATCCACCAGGCTCAGGCTCTAGTGATTGGGTAACCACTGACATCCAGGCGAAAGTGCAAGATACCGATCTAGATACACACGTGGTGGGGCAGACGGGGGTCATCCGCAGTGTCATAGGAGGCATGTGTTCTGTGTACCTGAGAAGGTTGTCAGCATCTCCAGTGAGCACCTAGAACCCATCACCCCCATCAAGAACAAGGTGAAGGTCATCCTGGGTGAGGATCAGGAAGCCACAGGAGTCCTGCTGAGCATCGATGATGAGGATGACCTCAATGAACAGTTCAAGATCCTCAATCTCCGATTCCTGGGGAAACTCCCGGAGGCTTGAGGCAGGCCGGGCTGGTGAGCTTTGGCAGACATCTGGCAAATAGAGAGTGTCCTTCTTCCTTCCCTAGTCCTTGGTTCTGACTTAGGATCCAGGTGTGGAGCAGACCCTACTCTGGTTGTTCAGTATTTTCGTTGTTTTCCTTTCAGGATCCCTATCTTTCTCCTTGATGTTTATGGGAATCAGAGCAAAGTCTGGGGGAGGGTCCCCATCTTCCTCTATCCCCTCTTCCTCAGTTTGCTTTTATGTTAAGGTCTTACACTAAAAAGCTGTAAAAGTAAAAAAACAAAAAAACAAAAAACAAAAAAACACAACAACAAAGGGGCCTTATAAAACCATAGTTTCAGGGGTCATGAATTCAGAGACTTTTGGTGGCCAGGCTATGTCTGGGCATTTGTTTTGTGAGTGGTGAGGTGTGGCCTGTTCATAAACACGGGCCCATTTAAAGGCTTCAGACCACTGTGGCCATATTGGACTATGGGCCAGTCTTGCCAAAGGTCCAATTTTTCAAGAAAAATCGATTAATTTTAAAATGTAGATTTACATTTTTTAATGCACTTCAGTGAATCAGTAATTTAAGGACTCTAGGCCCTCACTATGAAATAGCTGATCCCAGTCCAATTAAAAGGGAAGAAACACACACACACACACACACACACACACACACACCTAAAGCTTAAAATGAATAGATTACTTCAATTGTAATTCTATGGCAATAGAAGTTGTGTGTTTGCTGCTCTCCCCAATTGGAAGAAAAACTTATAGACTGTTGCTTAATATCTGTCATAATTTATCCCAGCATTCTCTTTTCAGGTTATTCACTCCCTTCTAACACTTCTCTTCTTTCCACTGTCCTCAAATGTGTAAGTCATGTACATTTTACAGTTTTAGACATATTTAGTGAGCACTTATTATGTGTCAATCATTGCCCTAATATAAAAATATATTTGTAAAAAATTTATTTATATATATATATATATATATATATATATATATATATATATATATATATATATATATAATTTGTAAACAAGACAGCCTGGTTCCTACCTTCACACAGCTTTGTGTCAATCAGAGTAGACAGATAATAGAACAAGTTAATTATCACCCAAGAAGTGCAGTGGTTGTCAAGAAACAGGAGGGAAGCTCAAGACTCACAGTAGGGAGATATTTACAACCTGCTGATTCCCAAGACTCCTAATGAATGAGGGCAAGATTGCAAATGAAAGTCTACATAGCACATATCTAAATATTTAGAAGTTATAAATCAAGCTTACAAACTTAAATAAAATATGGTCTAATCTTGGACATGGACAAATGCACTTTCTTTACCACCTGAAAATTTAGGTTTGTATTTAAATTTTCTGACTTCTTGGACATCTGTTTCAGAATGTGGTGGTACAAAGAGATCTGGAAGCCAGTCCCCAGCCCACTTTTTGTTCCCATTCTCTTCATCTCAGCTCCATCCCTCACTAGAGTAGATCTTAAGAACATTTGCATATCCATATTCACAAGAATCAAGTCCTGCCTCTCACCACGAAAACTCTATTTACATCTCCCTACTTTTCTCAAAACACGCCCCTTGGCCTTTACTCAGGCCTGGAGTGGGCAAAGGAGTGGGATCATGTGTCCTCAGGTTAGGGACCCAGGAAAGAGGCCTGAGAAGATGCTGGAAGCAGGCCTGGCCATTTGAGTAAGAAATCTCTGGACCCTGGAACCCAGAGCTGGGTTTGGAGGCACAGTGAGCATGACCTCATGGGACCACGAACTCCCCCTGGGGAGAGGTACAGCAGAAGAGAGCCAAAGTGACTTCCTCTAAAGGCCAAGTCGAAAGCAGTCATTTTTACTCTTTGCAATTATCCCTGATAACTTCAACATTCCCACATCTGTTATTCTGGCCTCAGAGTTTCTCTATATTATTTTTAAATATATATATTTTACTGATTTTTTACAGAGAGCAAGGGAGAGGGATAGAGTGTTAGAAACATCAATGAGAGAGAAACATTGATCAGCTGCCTCCTGCACACTTCCCACTGGGTATGTGCCCACAATCAAGGTACATGCCCTTGTCCTGAATCAAACTTGGGACCCTTGAATCCACAGACCGACGCTCTATCCACTGAGCCAAACCGATTAGGGCTCTATAGTCTGAATTCCACCACGTTTCTACCCCTTGTAGCTCCCATCAGGCTTTGGAATCCTTAATGTCTAGGAAATAACTATGTCCAGTGACTCATATTTAGTACTTCTCATTATTGGCAGCCAATTCCTCTTTTCCCTCACTCTAGTCTTTGCCTTTGTTCTGACATTTCTCTTGACAATTCTTTTGCTAAGTGGATTTATTTTCCAAGCATATTTTGAATGCCCATTACATACCAAGCAATGTATTCATTAAGCACTTATTAATTAAGGGGCAAGAGAGTGGGAAGCTGAGCAGAAACAGGAAGAGCCCTCTGAGTGGTCAGTTAAACTCCTCTGACACACTACCCACCTTCCCATTGGGCAGTCACGTAGCTGTGTAGCAATATGCAGAAGGCAACACAAAACCAACAGATCCAAAAAGGAGCTGGTAATTTCCCTCCTAAATTCAAGAACTCTGTTAATGGCCTAACCATTCTTCCAGGACCTCCACTCAAAGCTGAGAGACATCTGTACTCCTTGGCACTGTCTCAACTCCTTCACCTAGTTTCCATGCTAATTCACCATCAA